AGTCTTCATTATCTCTCTGATGCCGGTTTTTAGCACTATTAAGAACTTTTTGATCCTGTCAATTTTTTAAGAAAAAGTAAGGCTATAGACTTAGGAAATTGGTCGATATTTCAGCAAAGTTTTTTGCCCCAAAATTCCCCAACCCTGTTTAAAATACAGTTTCCCATTAGTCAATAGTCTTCATTATCTCTCTGATGCCGGTTTTTAGCACTATTAAGAACTTTTTGATCCTGTCAATTTTTTAAGAAAAAGTAAGGCTATAGGCTTAGGAAATTGGTCGATATTTCAGCAAAGATTTTTGCCCCAAAATTCCCCAACCCTGTTTAAAATACAGTTTCCCATTAGTCAATAGTCTTCATTATCTCTCTGATGCCGGTTTTTAGCACTATTAAGAACTTTTTGATCCTGTCAATTTTTAAGAAAAAGTAAGGCTATAGGCTTAGGAAATTGGTCGATATTTCAGCAAAGATTTTTGCCCCAAAATTCCCCAACCCTGTTTAAAATACAGTTTCCCATTAGTCAATAGTCTTCATTATCTCTCTGATGCCGGTTTTTAGCACTATTAAGAACTTTTTGATCCTGTCAATTTTTTAAGAAAAAGTAAGGCTATAGGCTTAGGAAATTGGTCGATATTTCAGCAAAGATTTTTGCCCCAAAATTCCCCAACCCTGTTTAAAATACAGTTTCCCACTAGTCAATAATATTCATTATCTCTCTGATGCCGGTTTTTAGCTCTATTAAGAACTTTTTGATCCTGTCAATTTTTTAAGAAAACGTAAGGCTATAGGCTTAGGAAATTGGTCGATATTTCAGCAAAGATTTTTGCCCCAAAATTCCCCAACCCTGTTTTAAATACAGTTTCCCACTAGTCAATAATATTCATTATCTCTTGATGCCGGTTTTTGCTCTATTAAGAACTTTTTGATCCTGTCAATTTTTAAGAAAACGTAGGCTATAGGCTTAGGAAATTGGTCGATGTTTCAGCAAAGTTTTTGCCCAAAATTCCCCAACCCTGTTTAAAATAGGTTTCCCATTGTCAATAGTCTTCATTATTTCTCTGATGCCGGTTTTAGCACTATTAAGAACTTTTTGATCCTGTCAATTTTTTAAGAAAAAGTAAGGCTATAGGCTTAGGAAATTGGTCGATATTTCAGCAAAGATTTTTGCCCCAAAATTCCCCAACCCTGTTTAAAATACAGTTTCCCATTAGTCAATAGTCTTCATTATCTCTCTGATGCCGGTTTTTAGCACTATTAAGAACTTTCTGATCCTGTCAATTTTTTAAGAAAAAGTAAGGCTATAGGCTTAGGAAATTGGTCGATATTTCAGCAAAGATTCTTGCCCCAAAATTCCCCAACCCTGTTTAAAATACAGTTTCCCACTAGTCAATAATATTCACTATCTCTTTTATGTCGGTCTATTACACTATTAAGAACTTTTTGATCCTGTCAATTTTTTAAGAAAAATTAAGGCTATAGGCTTAGGTAATTGGTCGATATTTCAGGAAGGATTTTAAAATCGTTTTGATGCTTCTTTTGTCTTTTTTCAAAAGTTTTTCCTATTGAAATTTTGAAGAAAATATTAGGTCCTAATCTTTGAAAATGGTCAATTTTGGAAGAAAAGTTTTTTGCTGGAATATTCTCCAAATTCACTTAAATCCTTTAATTACATCATTTCAAACGTTTTTAGAATTGTTTGATACTCATTTGTTCCTTCTCTTAAAAATTTTGGCCTGTGGAAATCTTTAAGAAAAGGCAAGGCTATAGGCTATGATTTTTTTTGACTTTTAGAAGAATATGTTTGCCGAAATCCACTTAAGTGATTAAATAACATCATTTGAGACGTCTGTTTTAGCACTATTTTGGTGCTGTAAAGAATTTTTTTATACCTAGTTAAGTATTGAGGAAAATTTAAGACTACAGGCTTATAAAATTGGTCGATTTTTGAAGACAAATTTTTTCATGAAAATTTCACAATTCCATCTATTTATTTACATCTTTATAAGTGTATCCAGAAATGTTTCATGCTTTTTCGATCGTTTTTGAAAATATTTCGACTCTTTTAATAGTGAAATGGAAGTAAGGCTATAGGCTTTGAGAACGAATTGATTTTGGAAAAGGCAATAGTATTTGCTTAGCAAAATGGTCAAAGTTTGACGCAAATCGTTCTTCTTAAACTCCACTTTACTTGAAATACATACGTCATTTAAAACGTATTTGTATAAGTTCTGATACTGTTCTGATACTTCCGAAAAAGCTCTGGCATGTTGAAATTATGAAAAATAGAAGGCTTTAGGCGTAGGAAAATGGTTTATTTTTGAAATAATATTTTTGAACGAAATTTTCACCAAGTTCCCTAGAAAAACAGTAAAAGCCTCCAATAAGAAGTCGTTTTTAAGAAAATTTTCGGCTCTAATATTTTCCAAAAATCTCCAATATTTTCCAAGTAACTTATGAAAGCTTTTTACGTTATAGGGTAACATAAAGTTATTTATTTGGGTCCAAAATGTTTTATAATCACGGGGCAATTATAAATACACTTTTTTTGATGATACAGAAAAGTTGGTTTTTGGGTGAAAGCATTCTTTTGGGTGAATAACTTTATATACAGCACTCGTTTTTGAATTTAATAAACATATGAATGTGTTAAAATGCAATTTGCATGGGGAATCATAAAGTACAGTACTTTTTATAAGAAAATAGGGTACCTGGCCTTGGGAAATTCAAAAACTTTTATGAAACATTTAGCCTTAAAAGCAAGGCATAGGATATAAGAAACTTCCTAAAGCTTAGTAAAAAACAGTTTTTACCCATGATCTTTCGTGGTACAGAATTTAGGAAAAAACTTAGAAAAAAGCAAACAATTTGAAACACGTTACTGAAGCTTTTCCTCTGACATTCTTCAGAGTACAAAACAATAGTGAATAAACCAAAAACTCTCACGCTTATCTGATTGGCCTATCTTGATCCAAACTGAGTATATATTTCCCAGCATAGGGTTTTCGGTTTATGTTCTAACGTTTAATACTCTGAAGAGTGTCAGACAAAAAGTTTTAGTAACATGTTTCAAACTGTTTGCTTTTTCAAAGCCAATCTTTTACTTGTGAGGCTTTTCTGTTTCTGCTCATTTGATGCTGTTTTGTTACTTTTAAAGAAAAATTTAGTATGAGCTATAGACCTACAAAAATGATCGACTCTAAAAGGTCGGTTAAAAACTGTTACAAATATTCAATGATGTTACAAAAACTGCTGTATTGTTAGGACAAACAAAAGTAATTTCTTTATTGATATTTGAATGTTCATGATGTTCTTTGAACCCATTTTGTAATCATTTTGAATTGACAAACCAGTTAGCAATAAAATGCTAACTGACGACATATTATTATATTTCGGAATAGTAGTAACAAAAACGATAAAGCTTTTCTACCTAGAATGCTCTAATCAATATTGTATAGGCAGTTATAGACTGATACTGTGAAAGGCCGTGCTTCATTCTGTCTATCCAGCATTCTAACTAAAATGTACAGTTTCATAACAATATTGATTGTCTTGTATAATTTATTTGGCAGGTTAAATTATCAAAAAATCAATAGTGACTAAGTTTCGATATTGATCAATTGAACAACTGAAATATCAATTGAATAATATCTTATCTCAATCCGACATCATTAAAGTTTCCATAAAAGGTTATTAATGTATATTTGGTAGAAGATTCTGTTTTGACCAAATATTAACTTAATGAGCACAAGTTATATGAGGATCAATGGGTTTGGCAGGAACAATTTTCGATACCATTCGACACCAATATTTCCTGTTGCAACGTATTCTTTGATCCTTAAAGTTGAAAACGAGGCAAGGTAATTTTACCTGAATCCTCCCCAGATTATCATCTACTTATCGATTGACGAATTTGCTTTTTAACTTTATATAATTTATTTTAATAATTGAAACATTTTAGATCACGATTTTTATTTTATCTTGAATATAGCAGAGAACTCCTTTAGTGCCGTCACGGGAAAGACCCATGGAGGTGGGTAAGAAGACTTTACAAAATTGGTGGTGAAAAGAGACATTTTAATAACAACTTTGGTACAATTCAGCTTCTGGTACCCGGGTAAGGGAAGTTAACAAATCGAAAAGCTTATTTTCGTAGAACTTGTGAAAGTCAATGTTCCTTCTGTGTTTTGATGCCAGAAACCCGACTTGTAATATATAATATCCTCTGGTAAAAAGCAACGACATAAAAAGAAAGATATATTCGCTGTCTACTTACATTTTGATTATTCGGAGGAGGAGCAAAATTCCTTAATAGCCGAGCAAGCGTTGTTTTCGTGGACCAAAGAGCCATCTGATGGTCAACTCAAGTCCAAGGCATATCACTCTCAATGAAGCAGGGCTGTCACTATCTTCACTCTCTTGGAAGCATTGGAGCGTCAATCCTCGTGCTTTTTCAACTGGCAATTATCTTCACACTTTACAGAACTGATGCGTCACTTCTCGTGCACTTCTCTTGCCCTTCGCGACTACAATTAGAACCCAACAATACCGTTCCCTGTGTCTCTTCGGAACAATAACAGGCATAAAGAGTTTCAAAATAGCAAAATCAAGAGTTCATTACAAGACTACTTCAGAGAGCTCCTGATAAACAGAAAAACAGACTCTTGTTGTTTGGTTCTGATGACAAAATCTTCTTACTACAAACGATATCAGATCGCAAAGGACCAGGTCACCCATAATTGGTTGGTAAATTTTCCAAACCACCATCATGTTCAACATCAATTTATTGTGAGTTCAGTAATGTTTATACAGAAGTGGGCCGGCCCATCGGCCTTAGGTTGAAATTCCCTCAATTCGTCAAATACATTGACGAGTGAATTAAAAAAAAATATTTATTAGCGTTTCGAAAATCAAGCCTTCAAAAAATCCAACGAATAGGCAAATGGAATAGCAGTTTATAGATGCTAGATAACTAGGAAGGGGGTAACTAAAAAGCAATTTGGGCAACACTCTCATCATTTGTGTTTGAAAAATGTTTTTTTTTAATAAAAGACAGGATCTTGTTTGACATCGCTACTATGTAAGATATCGTATAACATACTAGATATATCTAATTGTGTTTTTTATGAAATGCTATTAACACATTACAGTCTGTGCATTGCATAAACTTGTGAATCTCTCTTGAAGTGTTCTGTCATGATTCAAGCTAATTCCGCACCAAATAACAAAATATACTTTTTCTATCTAGAGAAATAGAAATTTTAAGATAAAGAATGGAGGGCTATGAGATTATCAGGACTTGGTAAGTTATCTAGACTGGCTAGAATGCACGTCGTCTATGGACCACTCTGCTGCTATCCGATGACGTAGAGGGAGAGCGAACTAACTACACAGATACGAAGACATGTTGCATTTTATTGGGATGGAAAAGCAATTCCTTACTTTCTAATGAGTGATCGCTCAGGCGAACCCATCTTTTATGATAGGTAAAGAGAATTAAAGGGAAGAGGTAGGTCAAAGCGATCGAAGAATTTGAACAGAATTCAGTGACTGTTCTGTCCGCCGGCTAGCGTAAAAGGAATATCTTGATTCTACTGAACGATTTCCGATTAATGTTTCCCAATTACATTAAAATAAAACTCAGCAGCAAATTCCACTTCAAACCAAAGGGTTCTCTTTTGAGACATTGAAATACTAATCGAGGAGTTAGAAATCAATTAAACATCGCAGAAATCCACCAACAAACCCGCTGTTTTTCTCATTGCTGGTTTGTTAATAACAGAAGCAAGCTCCTGTTGTCAAGATAGCAAGCCAAGCTTGTCCAGCACTGCAGTCGCGGCCTGGGCTTTTGCGTTCTTCTTATTCGGGCTAGGAGAGGTAGCTGTAAACTCTTCTCCGTTTACAATCGCCTTGAATAAATAGCTCTTTCTATGAGAAGGTCCTGAATCCATGACGAGTTTGTAATCAGGCATAGGCCATTTTCGCTTGGTGCAGATCTCTGATAACGCAGAAACCGGATGCTTGCCTGGAAAATTTAATAGAAGAATCAATAGTTTATAGAGCGATTTTAGATAAATAAAGAATGCAGTAAAGTAATGTATTTATTTACAGGGAAAATAGTTCGAGACAAAATCAGGATTTTCAGAAAAGTTTAGAAAGTAAAAATTAACTGCAGAATATCATACTTTTAGCAGTCTAAATGACATTTAACTAATCGTTATCTTCACATTTGATGCCTGTTGTTTCCAGTTACAAAAATGCTGTAGCCACAGAGAGATGCAGACGTTTCGTGTTATAAAATGCTGCATATCGGTGTTTGATTACAGTTGGAGGTGTACAAACAATTTATCGTCAATGCAAAAATGTTCCTATCATTCCAAAGTTATAATGATCTCTGTATATGAACTCTCAAGTTCAGACATCCTATCACACGTAGCCAAATTACGTTATTTGTTGCGAAGGTATGATAACAATTATAAAAACTTATTCATGTAATTACCTTTAACGTCGACCACTGGAGGTCCTTTACGTTTGGCTTTTAAGGTTTGAACATTGTCTTCTGCTGTTGTTAAACCTCTCCGATCGGTTCGTATCTCAAAAAAGAGCGGATTGACGAAACCTGCTCGATTTTTTCCCAATGGTTGGCCGTACGTCCATCCCATCTTCTGTAACAGCCGAAGCCCAATGCCATCACGTATTGGTTGGAGATTATTGAAGAAATCCTAGGCGCAAAGAAAAGCGTGAAATAGCTATATAGAACGAATAGGAAGGGACACCTATAATACAGAAAATATGCTATAGCAGCTTATACAACAAAGAGATCTTTTTGTGAATAGCAGAATTTTATGGCACAATTTTTGAAATAACTGAAAAACTGAGCTATTTAAAAAGAAGTTTCTTTCATTAACTACGAGAGCTAGCCTATGTGGTGACGGCTCATATAGGCATTCTCTAGCAAAACTTCATGCATTAGGAAATATCGCGTAACTTGTCCCCGTTAGCGTAAATCACGTAAAGATACAGATACATAGGCTGGAAGTTCTCCGAATCTAAAACTCATTATGACCAATTAGCATTCTAAACTGGAAAATAAACACAATGTTTATGCTTATGTGTTGCTATTGCGAACATGGTGAGTTGAGTCATCTAGCAGTCATGAAGAATGCATAGGTTCTTTCATATGTGGCAGCCGTATGTGGCAAATGTTCAAGATTTTCCCATCTGCGACAGAGCCGGTATCAGCAGGCGGAAAAGCGGTCGGATCTATCCACAGAAGGGATAATACGATTCGTGGGAGCTTAATCTATATGTCATCTGGCATTGACAGCTTGATAGTTGCGGACCGACAGCAGTTACAGAAAGGTACATAATAGCCTCCTTGGGACATTATCGCCTCTTGACAATGGCTAATTTTGAGTTAGTGCTTTTTAATTGGGATATTTGAGCAGAAAATAGGATTATAGGGCAAGACAAGGTTCCACTTAAGATATAAGGCTCTGTGCCATCAGAATGCTTCTATACGGCGAAGCTTATGTGTATTTCTTTACAATAAGGGCTAAGAGAGCAATATACAACGCAAGTATGAATTAACAACGTTTGAAGGGGGTGATTTTAACAAATAAAGACATATCATCAAAGCAACTCATTTCTTTGCCTTTGTCCTATTATTGAACATTTGTACTTTTGATATAAAAAGAGATGGGACAACTCTCTCAAGATGTGAACATTGTCAATAGAACAGGAAAGTCACTGATGAATCAAAGGGAGATGGCTAAAATTTGCAGCAACAGGATAGGTGAAAACATAGAGATTCGAGGTACACCAACGAAGCGCTTCGAGCCTTTATTTACCCTCACATATTTAATAGCTAAAAGTAATTTCTAGACGTTTGGTGAATACGCGATCAGCATATAACTCTACACACATCAAAGTGAGTATTAATTGTTTGGGAGACGAACCAGAATGTGTCTAAAGACCGGTTGGCTTTTAAAAGTTTTGCATCATATGCGCATGCGCAGTTAAAGTCAATGTCGATGTTTCACGTCGAATAACATATCATGTGGTAAGAGCATTCGTGTCACTTATGGGAATACGCCATTCTCGAGTAAAAAGACGATGAAAATTTAGAGAAAAGTGAGTCAAGCGAAGAGTGAAAATGAAACTCCGGTTTATAAGATGAAACTATGATATATAATGAGTTTGATTAAATGCTGTGAAGAGCCAAAACATGCAAATTTTGCCCTCGCACTTATGGGCATGCCTATATAATGCACTTTCTAATTGGTTCAGACAAATTGAATTTGGATTCGTCTCCCCAACAATGTTTCATCTTAAATGTATGTACTCGAATGGGCTTTGCAGTCGTAAAACTTTATGCTTGCAATATTACAATACAAAGTTTCAACAATAGTTGAATTCGGATAATACCAAAAATAATGAAAGCCTCACATGGGAAGATTTGGGATATTACCAAAAAATTCTAAAACGGGAGAAAGATAGAGAAAGATACCTTTCGCACCCATGCACTGTAGCCTCCTCCTAATTCGTCTTTTGAAAGAATATTTTTGGTTTTTTCACCCGTGAATTGTTCCGGTTGTACATTAGATGTGCTCCATTGCTTGATCATTTCATCGCACTCTTTGAGTTTGGCAATTGCTTCGATATCAAAAGGGTTTGCATTGATTGCGTTCTGGGCTTGTAGTCGGTTCGCAATAACGGAGCTTATGTTGACAGGCTAAAATATGACGTACATAAAATATTAAACTATTATTTGGATGGAGAACTCTAGAAAGCTATGCTTCAGAAAAGCGGGCAGCTCTTATGCTCTTTTAGGATAATTTATTTTTGTACATTATCGTACGTAAAATAGTTTACTGCTACAATTCTTGTCAAAAATAGTTGCAACGCTTTCCCATCACGGCATGCAAAAAAACTGCCGATTCTAAAACTTCGACCCCCTTCCTCCGTACAATGTTGATTTATTTTCTCAATACCTTCATACAGCTTTCGGTGAAAAATTTCTACCTTCAGCATTAAAACAGCCAAATTGAACAACGTTGCAATTGGAGGTAGGGGGGATTTTTTAAGTTTATTTAATAAATTTAAGAAAATTTAAGTTTTGCGCAAGTGTCTGCCAAAGGTGAAATAGTCAACTACAGGCTGGTTTTACCGAATGTCTCATACAGTGATAAGGGCTAAATGAATAGAATTAAACTCTTTATTGAGAATCATCTGAAAAATTTACTTCCAAAAGCACTGAATTTTAAAGGTAAACTTTTATCCCTGCGAAAAAGGAATGTTTGAACACGAGGGCAAACTGAGGAAATGACAGTCAAAACGATGCTTCAAAAATGAATGTTGGTTTGGATAAAACATCTGATCCTTTTACTTGCACATTGGAGCAAAATTAAACAACATTAATATAACTCTGCTTTCGAGATGAATTAACTTAATTAAATGAGATGGCAGACTGTTGATAACTACCTTTAGTAGTACACAAATAAAGAAAGGAATTAAAAACACGTGATATCGGTAGAAGCAGCATGGACAGCTGCAGTCCTTGCTTCTTTGAACAGAAAACAAGTGTAGTAGTTTCCCTGGTAGAAATACATAACTTTATCGGTATATTGGAATGTTCAGACACTAAATGCTCTCTTTTCGAGGCGAATCAGTTAGTTTTTCACGTGGCGCCCTTCGAAAGACTCCTAGTAATTCTGATGAGGTATTCTTAGAGTCCATGAATAATCTATTCGAGACATCTGGAAAAGTCCCTCTTTATTGAAGCGGCTTTTGACTATACTGAGCTTATCTCCACAAGCGTGGTCTGGGTTCAAGAAGCTATACAGTGAATATGGATGCGATGAATCTAAAAATTCAGAGGATTTTGACGGAGGTCAACTCGAATCTTTTTAACCTTAATTTAAGCATTTTGAAGAAATTTACAAGCAAAATCGCAGTCTAATCAATATAATTAAATACTTAAAAGATTGGCGGACCATTCACGGCCTAATCTAGTTTTAAATAAAAATGAAACAAAGCAGAAATCCTACTACGAGTTTGACAAAAGGTCTGACGAGAAGCTAATGTCTCTATGGACAAAAAAAAAATGAAAGCATTGCCTTTACTTATGTCTGCTTCACAAACTTTCATTCTTGGTAGCTTCATTGGCTAAGGAAATTAAGGAAATTAAACATCATTTTACAGGATTGTAGATGGGGGCATGTAGGGTTACTGGCCCTCCAAGCACGAAACTTCTTAGAAAGTTTTGAGATACTCAGTCAAAATTTTGTTTTGATCTTCAGTCCGATAGCCCCTATCCCCCTAGAATGAAATTTCTCCTACTTTGTCCCTGTAGCCAAATGAACCATTTTCCACTTGAACGTATCATGATAACGTCAATTCTATATGTTCAACTGAATCACACCTTTTCATCTTCAAGATGCTTATGTAAGGCACGAAATTCAATTAATGAATTGTCAAGTTTTTTCAAACACCATTCTCTCATCTCCATTCTCTTCTAACGACCCCCCCCCCCCTTATTCTTCAATTCCTCTCCCTTAAGTTCATTTCGTCAAATCTATTATCGTGAACAAAACAATTGAAAATAACATTGGGCAAACTATTTACCTTATTTGGTCTTTCGAAAACAGGGGCATTTGGCAAACCTTCTGATGCGTTTTCTTTGGTCCTGTGCTGCAGCCCGGATGAAACCGGGAAAGCTGCCTGGATTTCTTTGGGAAGAGTCGGATTCATTCCGATATTACCAACGACCTGCCGAATCATTCCAGCTTGGATGGCTTGTGCTGGGTTCTAATGAAAGAGGTAGAAGCTAAAAAACTCAGAATTCCATACATTAAAGCAAAAATTAAACGTCTTTTATGAAGATCACCATTATCAAGTATGTTGGTTAGTGCTCAATGTCCTATATGTCGAACCTGCAGATTCCTAAATGCGTAGAGCAGAACGCAGCTCAGTGGCTACTTCAAGTTTAATTCGATCATCAGGCAACAAGAAAAATAGAGCTAATGAGATCGCCAGTGATTTGTTGCCTGATCATAATTAAGAAGGGTGAAAATTGGTGCAGAAATTTTGAGCGTCCTTTTCTAGATAACAAAGCATAAACATGCAGTCTTATAGACGCAGCGGACTGGAGTGGTATATGAAAACCTTAGAGTTATGGCTATATTGAATATAATACAAGAACCAATACATAGGGGAACTAGTGAAATAAACATGAAAAAGTACAAACATCGACCATCACAATACGGCAAAAGAAACCTCTCTACTCAACTCTAAACGAATTACGATAAACGAAAACTTTTGCTGGTAATACGATACCCTATTTTAAATTTGTGCACACGTAAGAATGCTACATATGACAGATAACATTTTCGAAAAATCAGGTAAAAGTAGAAATTCGCGAACAAACTGCCCACTTTAGCCGAAGTCATATGCTTAGGAAAAAGCAAGGGACGACTTTGTGACATTATGGGTAAGGATCTACCAAGTAAGGTCTATTAAGAGACAATCTTTACAACTTTTTTATCTGGTTGGATAGCAAAATTTAATACAAGTTGAGATATAAATGCAGCCAAATTCAATGTTACATCTCCACAAAATCTTTATATGAACTGTTTCATTTTGACAAAGGATCAAATAAAAATCTATGCTTGGAAACAATGCAAAGGGTATACTTATTAAAAATAGGTAGGGTATACTTATTAAAACAGATTCCTTTGAAGAGTAGGTAAAGTATTTGAATATTACAGCAAACAGAACATTGCAAATTGAATATTAAATAAAAAATATATATATAAACTGATACCTGAAGCATTAGATCCTTTAATGAGTATTTATTATCTAGCTTGAATATGTTATCTAATGCATAAAAATCACATAAACTTTGTAGTTAGTTACCTGTCACCAAGAAAAGCAGCAATAATTGTTGTCCTTTCTTTTCACACAAATCATTATCCCATTGTAGAGAACTGAGAACCTGTATTTTATATTGCGCCTATAAATGAAAACTTTGACACATGCAAGCTGAGTAAAAATTCTATGAAATTTGCTCAATATCTGGTGACCAATGAACAGTATATCAGACCTGGAAACTTCCGACATTTTCAATACTGTGATTGATTAATTGCGGAAACAACGGGAAAACAGGGACGGATTTACCAGGGGGGCTTGAGGTTGCCAATTTTTTTGTGTCTATCACCATCACCATCTTTTTGTGTCTTCCGGTAGATTTTGCTTTGATTCGGTAAACAATTTTTTGTACTCAGTCATAGCAAAATGATGCAAAAAAATCACTTTATTGATTTTCTTATCAATATTTACTTAAAATTGAAGATGAATTTTAAAAATGGGCGTTTCCATCAGTTTTCAGTCACCTGAAGGGTGTGGCAACAAAATCTAATCATTATTTAACACCCCCTAATCCTTGCCGCTTTAATCCGTCCCTGTGGAACTGTGATTTGTTGCTGCTATTTTTGAGTAGCCGTAACGATGCTCGAGCAACATGATTCTACTTTGGAAACTTACGCAATTAAAAATTTGCTGATCATTGGTTTTAAGCACGATTTTAATTAATTCAATCTTTCCACTGTTCTGCATTTGAATTCTTTCATGAAGCCTCTAGGTGTTGAATTTCATCTATCTTAATCAAATATAAAAAAATTAACACTGGAACAAAAAAAATATTGAAAACTCTCTATCGTTACTGCCATTTTGAGTTTGTGGAAATTTATGTCAATGAAACTAGAAGTGGCGTAAATTTCCAGGTCTGATTTCTATGTAAACCCATTTCGGTCAAAACACGAAAATGAATAAAGGAGCAATTTGACAGTTTAATAATACATTTGTCACCAGATAAGAGCAAATTTGATAGAAACTACATGCAATGCATATATCAAAGTTTCCATCTATGATTAAAGAAGTTATGAATTTAGTCACAAAAGACAGTGTCAGAAAAAAATGATAATCACTAATTTAAACAAAGTGTCAGAAGCTTTGTAAAAAATGATGCTGCATGAAAATTTTTGAAGTCAGCTTATAATTTTTTCCTAGACATAAATTACAGACAACATAATAGAAATTTCATTTCCCTAACAATCTCAATAGGAGAAATGCAAAAGAGTTCTTCAACATCAGCTGACACTATTTAGATGGTGGAATTCAGAAAACCTTAGTGAAAAGAAAATTGGTGTCATTCCACCACCAGATTTTTATTTGCAAGATATTAAGTAAAAACATACATAAACTTACCATTGGTATCACAGGAGCAGCATTTATAATTGGTAAAGGTGGAGGTGGTGGCAGTTTATAAGGATGATGCAAAACCAATGGCTCTTTTTGGCAGGTTTCCTTTGACCCAGTCTTTCTTGGTTCTATTTCCTCTTCAGCTGTTTCTTTACTTAGCTTTTTACATAACTCTGTTAACTCTTTTAAACCCTTTCTTTCAACAGGTTCCCATTTTCCAAACAAGTCTGTTTTGTTCTCTGAAGCACTTTGAGGCTTTGAATCTTTTCCAGTAGATGATGTAATCTTTATCTCAATTTTCTTAGTGCTAATTAGATTGCTAACAACATTACTTTTGCTATATTTTAATGAATCATCTTCTTGTATTTTTTCTTTGCTAATATAAAGTTTCTCCCTTGTTTCAACTTTTGTTTCATTGATTGGGTCATGAACTCCTTGTTTTTCATATTTATCAGATTCAGTGTTAGATTTAATTATAGAAAATGACTTTCTTTTATCTTTATATCTTTTCTCTGAATGATCTTTTTCCTTTGAACTTGATTTTGAACTTCTCTTGTGGTTTGATTTGTGCTTTTTCTTCTGCTTTCTTGAATGTGGTGATAAAGATGAAGATCTTCTGTATTCTTCCTTCTTATATTTGTGCTTTTTGTGTTTAGATTTGTGTTTCTTTGAATATTCTCTATGTGGTGATCTCTCAGGTGATGGAGAACTTGACCAATTGGATGAGCTACTGCTTGATCTTACTGAAGATCTCCTCTGATCTTTATATTTGTTATACTTTGATCTATATTTAGAATCAGATGATGAGCTTGAATAACTTCTTTTCCTGGAAGACGATCTTGACTTTCTTTCAGAGCTCCCCATAGTAAGGTATAATTCTCTAGCACTGAAAAAATGGATATAAGTATATGTTTAAAATAATGACAAAACTAATACCTTCAAACTTATCACTGTTGTGATTTTCTCGCAAAGACAATGTTACAGTAATAAAAAGTGAATAACTTGTTGAACAACTTTAATTTGAAAAATCTATGTTATTAGCAAAAAAGTCAGTCAGATGTAACAGTGAAACGAAAAAAAGAAAATGAGGTGCATGGAAGCAGAAAAAGAATTGCAATTATGATGATTTTTCATGTGTCTCAAATCTTGGGAAACACATTTTTGCAGATTTCTGGGTCACTGACATAATGTGTTTAAAATTATGTATAGAAAATGTTTCAAATTAAGATAAGATTCCTTTAATTTTCAAATCATTTCGACTTTTTGTACTAAATGTGCCTTGTCCAACCATTTGGTGAATTGTTCTAAAGTTCTTTTTGCAATTTGGTTATCTCTTTGTTCTTTTTGTAAGCTATCATGAAGTTGTTTTCTAATCATGACATCTCTTAGTCAGGCCTTGAAAAAAGATTTTTCTTCCTGGCAGCAAAATAAAAAATTCAAGATTTTCCACGAAGCTTTGACAAAGTTTCCATCCACTGAAAGTGATATTTTATGTTGCTTGAATTGTTTAAAAATTTGTCCTAAAAATAAACTTTCATACTAAAAGAGGACTTATTGTTTAAAAAGAACAAATCTTTAATAACTTTGATTAAATTTCATATCAGTACTAGCAAACTAGATACTTTATAAGTATTGATGCATCCTACATCTTGTTCTGGGTTTCATGGCTGCTGCTCATTTTTATCATCAAAGCTTGAAGTTCATACAACATATAAGAATATTATTTTATTTTTCAAATGGTTAAAATTAATGCTTTAAATCAGGGATGGTGCTAGAGGCAAAGATGTAAGACCAAAACGCTTACATTCTATTAAGCTAGCGATGAAAAATGTATGCGAATGTCAGTAGAAAAGTATGAATAATAAAGGACACATCCACACAGGGCTTGGGGCATGTTCACCTTCAAAACAATTGACATAAACAATTGGCTGTATTTAAGTATTTACTTATCTAGAATGAAAAAGAAATGAACTTTGTTTTAGCATGCTAGAATTAAACTAGTAGCTGAAAATCATGCCCGGAGATTTGGTATAACAGACGCTGATAATACCAGATGATTGTATTTTGAAAGCTAATCTTAATTTTTTGTTTTACTAGTACAGAACAAAAAATTAACAGTATATATGTGTGTATATCAGAAGAAAACAGCGTTCCGTAGAAATAACATTGAATTAAATGTTCGTAATAAAATGGAGATTTCACGCTAAAAATTTCCTAGCAAACAGCAACAATTTCCTGCAATAAATTGGTCTTAAAAATTTCCTGGCAGCGTCGCTGCCGGCACTGCTGGAAATGTTCCAACCCTGCTCTTAGTCTGTAGCCATGTGAGGCATTACATAACTAAGACTTCTGCTTGCAGACCTCAACATCCAAATCTTCAAACTGAATCATTTTTCAGGATTATCTATTTTGGAACAGACTGCGAGTAAATTGTAGTTAACTGCTCAAACCATTACAGGTAGTAAGTGCAGTGGAATCTCTAACAGCAGCCACTTTTGGCAACCAAGCTTATTGGCTGTTCCAGCCGTTTTGTACTGCATTGATGCAAAAGCGGAGGCGCATTACTTTGTCAATCGTAATTCAAATGTCAGACATAAGGTATTTTCATTGCCTTCTGATTCAAATTGAATCTTTTGGGCAGTTTTGGCCATGGAATTAGTTTCTCATTTCTCATACCGTGATGTCACTAAACTTTTGTCCAAGTACCTCTGCTCTATGTCAGGGCCTATTCAGGGGCGGACACTTAATCAAATATTGGGGGGGGGGCAAGCCTATTGTTTTAATAAGATGACATCACATTTCCCATTGTTTTAGAGCACAAGACCATTGTCCTCTAAAGTATTAGGGGGGCGGTTACCCCCCTCGCCCCCCCCCCAAGTATCCGCCACTGGGCTTATTGTTATCCTAACATAAAACAAAGCAACATGTCTGCCATGGTATAAGCTTTCCATTTCTCATACCATGGCCAGTCAAACCCTGGCCTCTCAACATTACGCTGATATTTATAACTTAATCGGGTTTTGGAATTGAGTACCATGGGGATTTTTCTAATATTTTCTCCATTTTCCAACATTTTTTCAAGAGGGTTACCTCACAATTACTGACCTTGCCTCTATCTATTTCAAAGTAAATTTTCAGTCTCTACCTCTTCCAAATTAAGCAAGACACAAAATAAACAGCTATATTGTTAGAACTGGAGATCAACCTATGAACTGAAGATCTACATTGGTCAACCTATGTAGCTGGCTGAGAAACACCTGACAACATACTGAGGAAATTCCCCCCCCCCCCCCCAAAGAGACTGTCTCTTTCGCGAGTAGATTTTGATAGAAATTGAGAATCACTGGAGTTTGCGCTTTCTCCAGCAACACCTAGATTAAGGTTGTTTTACTTCACAGCTGTTACGCCGCAGAAGTCAATTCTAGTTAGGCCGCATTCATGCCTCCCTGTGATTAGTTACAATTTTTTTTAAAACTCTAAATGATATTGCAAAAAAATCTACACCCTTGAATTATTCATTGAATTCTGAATTCTAAAGTGCAGTATTCATGATTAAGAATATTTCTTTTGCGTTGTAATAAAGTTTTGAAGTTGAGTCTGCAATTCTCAGAATGGTTGACAACAGAACTTGGTACGAGTTAGGTGTACTGAATTAGCTTCAAGACATCACTTATCATGTTTCTAGAAACAAAGTATAACAAAATAGCACAATTCAGACATAGTGTATTTTTATCTCGGAAGAATACTGTTTTGTAGCTTCATTATCTCAATAAACTAGATTTTGTTTCCAAAGCGCTATATGAATGTTCAGGTAAACAAACCCTCTGCACAGGCGTGGGGGCCGATCGGCTGGAAAACGTGGTTTGAAAATGGAGATGTCTGCAGTAGTCACCGGTGGAAAAATAATTGGCGCTCCTGTCAGACAGGGCTTATGAAGATAAAACTGCTAGAAATAAACTTTTGAATAGTTTTTACAAAACCTTATCAGAGGCCATAAAGAATAGTCTCAGGTCTTCGTCACACGCTTACGCTACAAAGTTTTAAATGTGATTTTCAGTAACTTCCTAGAAGTTGCTCGTCTATGGCCAGAGGTTTTCGTATAGCCTCATTACCAACCCAATTAATGGAGAAATATTGGTATAGTATCTTTTTTCGTCTAGGAGCACCAGAGAAAATTGTAAGCTCTGCTCTTGGCCTAAATCGCGGCTTTTATTGAAAATTCACAAAAGTTGGAGTTAAACTAAATTTTCTCCAGGATTAAGTGAAACAAATATTGGGATAAATTTTAGATAGATAAGTAGCTTAAAGATTGCTCTATTCGAATATAATAATACCTCAAAATTTGCGAATAAAATTTGCCCTAGAAATTATTTGCAAAATCGTCGAATTATTTCAAATGCAGTTTTCCGGTCTGTTGTCCCGCGAAATTCGGAAGAATCCACTTCCATCTAAACAATACTGCGTAACAGCTGTGAGCATCTAAAGGCAAAATATCTGGCTGTGAAAATGGTACGTAAGTAATATATTTTTCAAAAAAGGGCACTTTTAAACTTTTTCTAATCAGGGGGCGCTGTGGCATGCCTCTGTGTGGTCCCGGCCCCTAAAATCTTTTGGCAAAAGCTATTCCAAACCTTCCGAAAAGATATTGTTGCCAACATACTAAATCAGAACACATAAGCCTTAACCCTGTTAATTAGTTTCACGACCTTGAAAGTGAGCCATCTTATGTCTCAATTTCAGCAGGCTAATTTTTCTACTCCCAGCTCCAGCTGCAAAGGCCGAGCCTGGCCAGACGTTTAAACAAAATGATTAGAAAAATTGGAGGCCAAAATGTACAAACTTATGTTTAAGACAATAGCTTTTAAAAATAGACTTGAGCAGTTATTCAACTGACGAAAAGTGCAATATATGATAAAATTCAATAGCTTACCTAGAAATAACAGGAACTTCCACTTTCATCGAACTTTCTTCCTAACCGCCATTTTGGTAGTGAAATAGATTGAGCCTCGTTTTGATGGTGAGATAGTACCACAGAATAGGAATTAGTCCCCTTCTGCCTAATTCCTATTCTGTGATAGTACGTAGATAGCTTTTAAATCAATAACACTGATCAAGAACGATCATGTCAACGGCGTGCACAGCAAAATTAAGCGTTATTTAGTTGATATTTCTGTTTTTCTCAGCTGCTAATAACAAAGTTGAAGCTATTAAGACTTTTAATAAGGACCTAGAAGTACCGCAGCTTTGGTTTTGCCAATTGATTTATAGACGTTTGAAGGCTTTGGCTCTGTGCTCTAACCCCGGTGTGTCATCTCACACTATCAAGTGTAAACACCCGTGTCTGAGGGTCTAGAAAACTGACTCTTCCTTATCTATGATATTTGATTCCAATTTGACTCCCCTTTCTTTGAAACCAAAGAAAATTTATACCCTTTTTCCTGAAATCAAGTTGTTGAAATGAGGCCAAACAAAGAAAAATTAGAAACCATATTAAGATTCCCATATCATACACCCTCTTTTATCATCTATGTTCTGACGTTTTAAACTCTGAAGAGTGTCAGACAAAAAGCTTTAGTTTACTAAATGTTTGCTTTTTTCAAAGCCACTTACACCCTTTTTTCTATTTTCTATGTCCTAGATGTAATACAAAATTGAACCCCTTTCTCAGAGATATTAAAAACACGGGTGCTTACACTTGACAATAAGAGTGGACCCGCCGAGACTCTAATTGTGATAAGAGGTGAAATTTTCAGTTTAAAGGTCAATGATAGAGCACCCTCCATAAATCTTTGGTTTGATTAAATCACACATATAAAAGGCATAATAGTCAGCCAATCTTCAAGACCAGACTAATAAATAAGATTAAGGAATGATAAAACGTTTGTCTAAAAATGTATTTGATATCTTTTCTGTAAGCAACTTGAACTTAGTGCGTTAAATGACAAAAATGAATCAAGGTCTGCTGTATTTTGCAGTGAATTTAGCTGATTCAAGGTGAGGCTATAGAAATTTTTTTGGAGGCCTGATCATTAGCTACCACGAATTCGTTTTAAGAGCAGGCCTGTAACTGTCAATGCGTGATCAGTTGTAATTGTGTGATTGCGTGATCAGTTGACCTCAGATTTCGACACAGTCAAAAGCTGCAGTACAGATAGTACACATAGTGTTTAAAGGCTCTTGCGCAACCGCCAAGCTTAGCAAAAGCTGTCTTGAGAAATTGACTATGTTTCATACGGTAGATTTTCATGCAAATTAGGCCGTTTTTGAAAATATAGTTGCAAAGTATGCAGGTTGCGCAAGAGCCGTTGAACTTATATTTTATAGCATTGCTGTTGAAGCATTTGTTCAGTTCAGTTCGAATCCAGAACAAAACTACGTCATGTCTGTTACTGTTACTGAAAGCAAGTTGTGATTTTTGTTGCTTGTATTAATTCTTAACAGTGATATAAAAGAAGATGATTGTTTTGCTGAAAAGTAAGAATTTAATTAAAAGAGCAGAAGTTAATCTTTCATCAGTGTATAAAAGGAATCAAGGAGCTTGAAAATCTTTCTTGAAACAACACCAAAACTTGGCAATGACATTTGGCACACTTGGCAAGTGCTCTGTACTTTGGAGCTTTCTGTTAAAACTTTGTAAGTATTGCTAGTTTGCAAGCATTACTAGTTTGTGATGCATCGATGTGAAAAAGCTTTTCCTGTTTCGGTGTTAACTACTGGCTGTCGATCTATGTGAAGCGTGCATAAACATAAGCATCCGAGAGAAACATGAAAGTCAAGCATTTAAACTGTTAGAATGTTAACAGAATGGTAAGAATTTTTTCGAAAATGTTAAGCATTTAACACATTAAAAGTCAATGTATTACCACGAAGCCTATGAGTTACAAACTACAACTAGAACTAAAACATTGTTAAAAAGCCTCTTATTGTGCAAAAACTCCTAATACTATTTACAAGTGATCTAAACGTTTTTAAAATGCTGCACAAGATCTTTTCCAATACGTGACAGTAATTGACAGAGCACAACATCTTCTTGAATACGTATTTGAGCTTGCTTTAATTTAAACAGTGGTGGGCCAATGTGGCAAAATGAGAGGGGGAAAGCAAATGGTAGAGACCTAGTCGAGTCTCCCCGAGAAATTTTGCTATACCTTAACGGAGTGTTGCTACGTGACTCTTTATGGAAACTAACTTGAAGTAAACCATGCTTTGGTTTTGCTTTGAATTATAAGTGATTTAGCCTTCCTCAAACGCCAAAACTTTGATGACTGAAAGAGGGCTGTTACGCCCTACTTCCCCGCCTCACTGTGCCAGTGTGTACGATAAAACACTGTGAAAACAAGCTCTTCTCGGAAATAGATCAAGCTCTTGTTATGCCATTCTTCTCAAGCATTCAAATGTTTTTCATTGAGCTTTTAAATGCATTTTAATTCAATTAGAACACCGAGTTTCACATGAGAGAGATAGAACAAATTAATATACATTATAACACAAAGGCTAAGCCCTAACTACATCAGGTCACAATATTTACAGAGAATTAATTCACTCCGTCAAATGCAAGGCACGCAAAATCAAAGTCTGAAATGTATGGTAATTCCGTTTGTGAATTTCAATCGAACATACCAAAAAAGAGAATTCTTCAAGATTCTCTCTTGATGAATATCTATACCATAATAACAAATAGAGATTAGAGAAGGTAGCTGTTTGGCCAGAATATCTCTAAAATTTCTCTCTAAAATTTCTAAAAAGAGATTCTTGCTGTGTTATCTTTTCAAGCATGATATGCGTTTGGTATTAGATATGCGTAGTGATAGCATCGGTTTTCATCGAATTCAAATGTGCTGCGATTAGGACTTTTGCATTGCACTAATGTCACAATAGAGAACATCAACATCACTCAAAACTTAAAGCTATTTTGGATTTATCGAAAAAAGAGGCCAATATTTTCCAGGTCAATTTTTGTAGCCTTCTGTCAGCTGGTTAGAATATTAATGACGCCTTTATAACCCCCCCGATAATGGCGATAGAACATTTAAAAGTACAAAGAATGACGTAAGCAGACACACGTCTTAAGGCCTAAACAGATTCTTCAACAACCTCAATACTTTTGTTGCTATTACCGTTTCTGCTCTTTAAAAGAAACCAATCAGCTCGGAGCTGCTGAACCTTTGCCATCCATTTGCCATGGAATGTCTCGTATTCATCAATAAGATTCTCTAACTCGGGCATATTCGTGACTTCTTGATACTTTCTTGATTGTATTATAGGATTTTCATCATTTTCTTCTCTAGCCTTTCTTGCTGTTGCATGGAATATCCCGTATTTACCTTTTAGAGAGAAATTTTGTACAGTTAATAACAAAAGGGTCAGACTTTGAAAAAATTGTATTATCTTTAGTTATCAACTTCCTTTGCTACAGCCATGGAAATAACTTATAATTTCCAAAGGATTCAGAAAGTTCTTTTGGCGATTTAAGAAGTAGTTTCTCTACTTCATCCAGTTTGATGACGTGTGCTATTGATTACAAGACGGTAGAACTACAAAATAGCATTGATTTGAAAGGTGATGGTGGGTTCTTCAAATTTAGAGACAGTTTGCACGCTGTATTTAAAAATTTGTCATTTCCATTTCAAAGTATCTGATGATAGTTTTTCTAGGTTGACTCAAAATGATACTCAAAAAATTATGAACTATAATTATATGCAACTTAATAATGTTTGGAAATACATAATATTTTGAAATATGTATATAAAGAAAAACACTCTATCTGCTTTATGCAGCTGATGGAGCAGACTACAAAAGGAGTCCTTGTTTATTGCTATTATGAGTTTATTGCTTAGGGTTTTAAGGTTTCAAGAATTCACGTGCAGTGTTTTATAGTCTTAACATATCTCTTAAAGAACCACCAAAGCTAGAATGAAAACAGGTTGCTTCCAAATATCGTATGGTACAATTATAGAGTAAGATTAAGCTGAGATCAGATATCAACTTCAAATCAAATAAGAAAAATGAAATTCCAGGGGAATTATCTCTATTGTTCCCTACAGTGCCCCGCATTCATCTACCGATAGTGAAAGGGCAGAGAGAAGATGAAAGTTTGTAGCAAGGGGGTGCATTACAGATTTTTCATTCGAGGAGGCCATTGAAAGTTGAATAGAATGACAAAATTACATTAACAAAGAACTTGATGACAGAACCTTTAATTAATGACAGTACTTATGATATCTTCCTTCGTAGACGTCATAAAGAAAATAACACAGACTGGGAATTCTCTTTATATTTCAATTTGTCGTTTTTATGCCAATATTTTGGGGCCAAAATTTCACCCTGCTACAGAACTTGGGGTCTATCATTTTTCAAAGTTGGTTTACAAATCAATACCCTGGGTCTGTAAACCACAAAAATATTTGCAAAGAAAATTTCATAACCACTGAAAACAATTATTTTTGAGGCCTCATATCATAGACATTGAAGCGAAAGGTGTCACTTCTCTATTAGAAGATAATAGAACATAGAAAGATCATTACCAACTGAAACCTGAGGTCCTTACCTGTAGGACTATTTCGAACAAAAAACTCCCATATGATTCCTCCAACGACAAATATTCCCAGGCATCCCGTTTGCACGTACACAACAAGTTTAAACTTATTTTCTTCATAGAATAATTTCTCTGCAGCCAGTACTTCTACCCTAGTTTCGTCAGTTGGATTCTGAAAAACAAAATTGTCTATTATGTTTCAAAAAATTTTCTATTAAGAAGCTAAGTAGTCAAAGCCATTGTTTTTTTCAGCTAACAATTTTTAATTCTCACTAGCCGTTATTTAAAGCGCTCGCAAACCACAGGTATGCAATTCAACTCCTAGACATATGTGTGTTATGCTTTTTTGCCATGTGAAGTATTAAAAAACTCCTAGACATCTGTGCTATGCTTTTTGCCATGTAAAGCATGAAAAAGCTGTGGAGCTTTTCATTTTCTTATATAAACCTATGCACAATCAAATTCTTAGCATTCCACTTACAACGAATATAAAAAAATATGATAGTTTATCACCTTAACAGGCTTGAGAACATTAGAAATCACTTCAAACATCTTCCTTGGATAGTGGTGGACATATTTTCGAAAACATTTTTCCACGTTCGGTGAATTAGATCGGATTGCTGTTCCATACGTGATCGAGTACGGAATTTCCCGTTCGATTCGCAGCTTGGTTTCCTGGAACTTATGCCGTATGGCAGACAGTATAAAGTTGTCTATTATTGCTCCATCTAACTTGTTGTTTTCCAAATCATCAAACAAGGAATGGTGATTTTCGTATGCTAAATGGAAAAATGAAATTGTTGTTCATAAAATGGTTGAGAGACATTAAGATTTAATGATACTGGATTAATGTTTTTTTTATCTTTGTCTTTTTTAGTTTGTCCACGTTTAAAAAACTTATCACATTAGATTTTTTGATGTTGCTACAATACCTAAAATAAAACATTACGATATAATATGCTCCTTTGGTTCAACCGAGGATCGTAAAAGATGATGGAAAAGAAAGCCTGTAGTCTAAGCTATGTTTGAATATTCTGTTTGCTTTATGATGCAATCTGGAAATCAGTTTTAGATTGTGAACTCAAAATAAATCAAACGATTTCCAAGTAACTTTACAAATTGACTGAAATTTCTAAACTCAGTTGAGAAGATTGTTGTTACAACTTTATGATAAAGATTGCATGTAATTGATAAAACTACAAGTTATCTCTGAAGAAAAGTTCTAGTTTCTAACATTGCATGTCTGCATTTAATCCAACGCCAACTTGAAACTCTTTGCTACCACTCACTGCACCAATCTTCAAAGCAATACAAAAATAAATTGGAAAACGATATCCATAGATAATTAAAAATATGAAAGAGATTAAAGACCAAGAAAAATGCCCTTGGATGTGTCTATTGTTTAAGTTTACATTTTGCTTTGTTAAGATAGGTTCTAAATGTTATAAGTGGAAACAACCAACTGGGTATGCTTGAGTCATTGTATAAAACAGTACTGTAAGCACTATTGTTGAAGGGGCATGGTTACTGTGTATATTGACACGTGATGAATGACGTCAATAAGTATGCAAAAAGCACTATTCATATTTCTACCATTTGATGAAAGTACTAGCTTTCTTGAATTGTTTATCGTTTTCAAGTCTAACAATTAGACTTCTATGGAACAGTCAACGACAAATAAACTCAACCACAGAACGAAAAAACATTGTGCCATTTTTTTCATAGAACCATTTTGCTTTGCGAGCACCTTAATTGATTTGGGTTTACAAACTATCTTATCTTCTCTTGACTTTACAACCATTGTTCAAAGCAAAGTCATCACAAATCAGATATCAAATTTTAAAACGTTTTAATAGGTACAGTTTTATCGAATGTATTTCAATAAACTATAAATATTGGAACCTTTATATTGGAACCATCGTTGTCAAACTCCGTTCAAAATGCAAAAGGTGCTATTTGTAAATCTTTTCCCATGCAAAGATATTATTTGAAAAAGTAGGCCTTGCTTAGCCAAGCCACTGCAACTTCTCTTCCAATTGATAAATAAATAATAACATGTTTCTTGCTTTTGCTTTTAAAAAAGTATTATCAAAGATGTCACAAAGTTTATCGACATTCTAAGACAAAGCATTTCTTACCCGTGCACCTGGCAAATTGAAAACTGGTGTAGCACTAACGGAGAGAGCCGCGGTAACCAATCCGGTGAACAAGGATATCAATATTATGCCACACAAAATCCACAGAATACAGAAGATACGAGCCATGATTGACTTTGGAGATCGATCCCCATACCTGTCAAAATAATTAGGCCCCATTATAATTTACTTTCTAAGGGGACTGACCATAAACAGATACATATGAATATAAGTATGAGCGGTCTGTGCTCAAAGAGAATATGTGAGTAAATTCAAGGGAAATGGGAATTCCTTATAAATTTTTAGCTTATGAAGGAAGATCTACATTCAAAGATGTTGTGATAGAGAGATATCAGCGATTGCATGCAAGGGCCAGTCGAGGAAAAGCTGTAAATTCAAATTTTTATGATATTTGGTAAGATACCAATAGTGCACATAGAAAGAAGGAAATCACTTAAACGTGCTGCACAGAAGGCTAAAATTGTTTGCGTTTAAAACTGACTTAAGTTACTTTTAATACAAGGTAAATTTTGTAAATTCTTTCAAAGTTTGACGCAGAACATTATTATACCATGTTAGGTTTTTGTTTTCTTGATGGTTGGAAACACGCAGTGCATTTTTGCTTTTCCAACAGCGAACCATCTGTCACAGCTTAGCATTATCAAATGTAGCTGCGTCAGGTGTAATTTAGGGTTTGAATTATAATCATCTTGGGCCCCAAGTTGAGAAATTTTAAGCAATATAAGTGTATTTGCAAGTTACAAATAATGCAACGAGAGCTTCTCATTCTGGAACTGATTAGAGGCAAACTGCAATACCATGGTAATTATTTGCCTTCCAAGATCCTAGGACAATACAAAGCACTCGGGAAGATCCTCGGGACGGAACTCGGGACGGCCCGCAAGGGCCAATACCCACCAATTATATTCAAATAGTATATTGTTTTATCAATATCCTTCATTGTTTACTAGGTCAAAAGAATGAATCTCCTCTCTTTAGTCAAAAATGTGCCATCCAGATGAATTTTTTAGTCTTTGGCAAGGGTGTTTGTCATTTATAATTCATTTTTGGCAAAGGCTCAAATTAATAGCGCAATTTTAAGACAGGTATTCACTGGTAAACATTTCACATGTACCAAACAAACAAACGTTTGATGCAATGATTTTATTTTAAGGAAATCACTTTCTTTTTGAAACTTACCCGACAGTTGTCATAGTAACAAATGCCCACCAAAATCCTTCCCAGGCACCAACGAAGAATGAAGGAGGGAATTCTCCAGGGTTCTTGTTGCGATCCTTTGAAGTAAAGAGAGTTCAATTGGTACATGAAACGACTGAATAGGGGAAGGTATTACTTGCAAATTGATTTATTTATCAGCACTTCATTTATCATCTTGAACAGTTATTGAGGTATTTGATTTCAGAGCACGTATCTCAAAACCGAATTTTCCAATTTTTGAAATGAAGGCCAAACAAAATTTCTGTATCGTCATTAACGAACATATCTTATGAACTTAGGTATTTATTTTTACTTTGCACATAACTGAAATAATTGCTGATTGGGCAGCATAATGCAGAAGCATAATGAGTTTGTTTGACATTCAGCTTTGTTCGAAAAAAGTTTGAAAGGTCAAATTCAGTCATCCCATTCTCCCTACATATCAATTTTGGTTTACTATAAAACGGGTTAGGGAAATAGGAAGTGCCTTTTGTGATTCTTTTATGATATTTTTTTAAAATATCAACATTGCTCTAGGGATAGGGGGGCGGAGGAAGGAAATGAAAAATATGAAATGAAACGCAAATTGCTACGTGTACTCTGGCAGGCATTGTAGCTTGGACAAAAATGAAACCAAAACCGGATTCAGAAATGGCTGACAGGTTAAGAAAAAAGAAGAGATACATTAAGTACCAATAATTTCGGTGGATTTATTTTCGGTGGAACAGGGCACAAAAAATTTATCCCACCAAATTTTTCTTACCGAAATTTTCAAGCGCTAGAAAAATTTTATTTTACACCAATGGAAATTCAAAAATAACAAAAAATTCCTTGTTATTGAGAATTCAACAGTGATTTTGTTTTTGTTGCTTACTAATTTTCTAAACTAGAATATATTTTAGCAACATAAGTGGACAAGAAACCATGATCTCTTCAATATCGTGAACACAATTTTTGTGCTAGCAGCGTTAAATGACATTGAACAGCAATTAAATGAAAAGTGAAAACTTGATACAGTACCAGGAACCAGATGATGAGGCCTGATAAAGATGCCGACACAGCAATGAACACCAACATTGGCCAAGAGTTCAGAATAGTCTTCAGCAATACATGTGTTCTGGTGTTCTTTGTCTCAAAGAGCTGCTCAGGGACAAGGAGAACCATTCTTGGAGCCTCAACCAGTGGAATAAAAGGGTTTTCTTTATACAAATTTGTATTTGGTCCGTCAAGCCCATAAAGTGGAAATGTAAAGTCAAGGTGTTTGTCTTCTTCGTACCGTTCTTCTGCTTGAGGTATGGATTTGTACCATTCACCAAACGTAACAGTGCTTTTGTTGCAACAGAATTTCAGAATATCGGACATAATTGCAGGGAGAATTCCGGATAGAATGAGGTACTTGGCTACAATAGGAAGTGATTACATCATTTTCACTCAATAAAATTTTGGATACTGTAAATTCTTCGACTGAAGACAAGCATTGTCAGGGGTGTAACCAACAAGAACGTGCAGCCAACGTATGGTAAGTTATTAATATACAGTATCGCGATTCTTCCAAATCCAAAGTGTTAAAAAAGGAGTGTGATTCAAGCAGCATATATTAATATAGATAAATTCGATGAAAGAAGTCTGTGTCACTAAATATTGTGCTATTCAATGAAATAAAAACTTGCACAGAATCTTCTTTTATGGCTTTTAACACAACAACTACAGAGACAAAATGTTGTGATATCAAATTTCCACTACCCGTGTAAGTTACCTTAACTAATAATGTAATTTCAAGGTGCTACCACATTCTAAAAACTATAACTTCTTACAGTTAACCATCCTAGAGGGAGTGCCTTAAAAACTTGCTTTATGCATTTTCTACATTTCCAATGGCAATTTTACGTAAATTTTTTTCGTAACTTAAAGGCCTGTCATTCAATTACAGTTGTTTATTTCGTTTTTCGCCATTAAAACATTTTCATATGGCTTTCGTCAGTGGGACAATGGGTCGGTCTTGATAGCTTAGCTCCCTGCTCTTCAATGCTCATAAATATTTTTTATGGGACACAGGCCAATTTAAATAAACGTTTACTCTGTCGATCAAATTCCTCACTTCGTTGATATATTGACAAACCCCCTCTATTATGGCTATTGATTCTTGGTGTGTGGCGAGGAGAGCATAAACTCCATTTTTTTCTATGTTATCTAGTAAAGGGAGTTGTTTCAAGGAACGTGCACACCAGTGTCAACATTCCTAACTTTTGCTTAGGCCATCTTTCGTCCAAAACAATAAGACATACGACAAAACCATACAACTTAATGTAATAGTGTACGTAAAGGCCAGCAATGATCATGGGTGATGCGTTAAGTAATGATAAGCTGTTTAATACGTTTAATTGAAAAACCGTTGCACACAGCGCCATTGAGAGACTTTTTGATCAGTTTGACCCAGATCTGTATACAGGGATACAGCATCGATCGTGTATGAATTATGGGAGCTACTCACAAAGATCCATAACGGTCATAACGATCAACAGTTGGAAATTCCGTTAGCAAAGGACTAACTTTTTAAATCAAGCTTTGCTGTGACATTTAAAGAGTGACCACGCCCATTCACTTTGGTAATCTCCCAGTTTTATCTTCTTTTTAGTAACACAATGTACCTCTTAAACCTTGCGCTACATCTTATTTCATTCTATCCTTCAAACAGTCACCTAAAGTCGTCTATTCTGATGCGAAGCTGAGTCTGACCCAGTCGATTTAAAATGTATCTCTCAAGGTATGCTCTTACCAAAGATTGGGTTTGAAGTCTCTGCGTAAAGCAATTAGTAAAGCAACAAGTTTTAGCAGATTTTCAGTTTTATCATAAATGTAATATGAAATTTTAAAGTATGGCGGAATACTTACAATGATCTCTTATGTCAATATACGGAGTGTAAACTTGAAAAGCAACAGACAGGTCCAATCCCAAGCGGCATTTCTCATCTAGGGAATACTTCGCGAATTTTTCGAAATGTTTCCTAAACACTGAACTGTTCATGCCATTGTTGCCAACTGCTACAAGATCGTGTTGAATTTTAAGTTCTCCTTCCTTACTGTCAAGCGACGCGTCCTTGTTCCATTTTACAATGTAAGCTAGGGTGTTTCCAAACACAGAGATGTGTATTAAACCATATATAAGCCAGTGCAGGTTCATTATAAGACCTAAAATCAAGCATGAAATTTGATATATTCATGAGCTAGAACAGCTGTGTGGTATTATGTAGAAAAAGCATTTAGAAGAATTTCACCAAGAATTTTTAACTAAAATAAATAAATATGATATAGAAAAGATAACCATTCACGTAAATTTAAAATATCTGAAAAAATCTAATTTGAGCTTTCCAGCTTGGTACCAAATATGAAAGATTTCGCTGATTCCTTATGCATTTGTTTGGAAACAAATTTGTACAAAGTATGACGTTGGCAAAGGGTTTAAAGAGACCTCTCCCAATCTCTCTATGGTACCACCTTACGGCCTGGGACCCACAATCAAAACTTAACTAAATTTTTATTCCAATTCTCTCATCCTCTTTGAAAAATGCTAAGACAAAGAAATTCAAAATACTCAGTAATAGAAAGTAAGGGTTATTTTATTATGACAACATAACAAAGAAGTAGAACGAAACACAAGCCGTTGTCCTAAAAAGAACCGTCGCATAAGTTGAGATCAATGACACTTTACAAAAGGTTAAAAGAATCATGTATCTCTTTTCTGTCATTTCTGCCCAGCTCTCAGGAAGAAACACCTCTTCCTGGTCGGCTAGAAACGGCGTCAAATATTTCACGTTGAAGGCCGGTTTGATAAACAATATACCATAATAATATCATTGTTTTATACCATTCAATTTCATTGTTTTGGTAGGAGATCTTTCAAACTCGGGTGAAAATCTTTCATAGAGCATACAGAAGGACATTATTCAATGATAGTTCACAGTTTTTGGCAATATTTTCTGATGATGATATATTTGCATCATTGGAATATAAAGTTACCTCTTTAAAAAATTGCATATTTCTGTTTCATGCATTTGACATCAAAATCTCTGATGGAAACCTCAAGAAAGTAGTCCCATGACCTTGTGGGACCCAAACCTTTTATTTCCCATTTGCTGAAAGTTTCATCGACATTTTCCTTAGTCCATTTAATTTTTATCTTGTAAGACACAAGTTCATTTGTCATTTTGATGTTAACAATCAGTAGCTCTTCTTTAAAATATTAATATATTTGACGATTTGACTTGTTCAACAAATTTGATACTTATTAATATGGAGAAACCTTTGGAGTTCTATCTGTTTCAAGGCTAGAATCAGTTGGAGTAATCTTCTTTAAACACAGTTTTGCAAGGGAAAGTGTTAAAAGCAGCCTAACTGAATTTCTAACATATCGAGAGATAATCGGAATAAAAGCTTTGCTGCTTAGGAAATTTCGATTGAAATAAATCCTTTCTAACATTAGAATTATGTCGTCAGGACAAGCGGAATAACAGCGAAAGTAGTCCAGATTACAAACGAGAAAATTAACAGATACGCTTCAGGGGGCAAGAAGCAGAACATCGTGAAAGAAAAAGTACATGTATAAAAAGATATGCTTCCCAGTTTTTTATCTCTTTCTTCCTAGTGTGGCTTTTTACGAAGAAGCCTGATTGTGTGATAAGAAAACTCAAGAATAAGAGCTGAATTGAACGCTTCTTGTTGATAGAGCACAAATGCAGCCGTACACATGTTCAAATTCAGAATATAGTACTATTATATAGCCACCTGAAATATTCAAAACAATTCTCGGTTATTGGTATATAGCTATTGGAATGCTACTTTATGCCTTTGGACATTGCTGGAAGAAGCCTGTTGTGTCATTTGCAGCCAGTTTGCACTGCCTGGCATGGCAATCATGGAGCAAATTATGATCTCAAGTTCAATACAAAAATTTCAAGATACCTTTCTGTTGAAATCTATCGTTCTGCAATATCTTTGTCCTTTTAAACGCCTTATCACTTTCTGTAAATAGATACAGACAACAGTTTGCAAGGCACTGTAGCCATTTGTCACGATCAAAATACCTTTTCTTTGACACTGTATTTGTTATACACGATAGACGCCGATCAGCTAAAAGAGACGGTTGCAGGTTGCACCTTTCAGCGTTAATGACTGCTTCATAGACATATTTACTTCCTCGTGCAGCTGTTTTGGAAGGCTTTTCAAATGATAATACAACGAAGTTTCCCTCAATTGTTGTACCAGCAATCTGTAGTATTTTCAGGCAAAGCATTATTGTCAAAAGCTCATAGGTACAAAGAACGATTAAACCAGAAAAAAGCCCTTGAAGAACTAAAAGGTGCCATATTCACTTTTGTTTCAGTTGTTTGTTTCCAAAAATTGAAATCTCTAAGGAAACTGAGTCAAGAATGCATGAATTTTCATGCTATGCTCACAACAAACCTTAATACCACAGTGAAAAAATAAACTGTGATATCCCAGTCAAGCATGAGCAATCGACTTTCGTTGCAGTGAAACATGTGGTTTGAAACAGTTATTTTTGTGCAAGTATCACGATCGTCTGCTGGACTGGACACGGAAGAACGCTAGCGATCAATTTGGAAATAAAAAAGGAAGGTTTTATACAGCAAAGCGCCGAGGGCAAGGCAGTAATAACTTTATGAACTAAATACGCAGCATTTGTTAGAATGCCCTCCTAAATGTTGGCGTCGCAGAAGTAGAAAATGTATCAAGTGGTCTTTTCGATAGGGATGACTCGTGGTTTTGGAAGCCCAAAAAGTGCAGAAAACTTTAAGTGACCACGAATGTGCTTTACTAAACATTCCAAAAGATACAGTTGATATCATATCGTTACCAATTGCTAGATTTTGACTAAATTTGAGAAAATATGAAATTTTGTTATTCAAGTGCATTAATTAAGTAAGTCAAAAAAATGACAGTTAATCGGCTGCTTCACTTATAATGGATGTAAACCCAACTTTTTCAATTCTGTTATAAGCTCTCCATTTGATGTAACTGGATCATTATATCACAACCTCCAACAAATTCTCCGTTAATATAAACTTGGGGAACAGTTGGCCCTTTGAAAAGTCTTATTGTCTGTAGGGTGTCCGGGTATCTTGTGCCTCTTATTTCAATTTCTATATTTCATTTAGGAAGCAATGCAAACAACCCAGAGTTTAAAACTAGTGATTATATAGTGGTTGATGAAATAAATAATTGATAGCTTAATCATGATTTGAATTATGTTCGGAATGTGAATTCGGATATTGGAATGTTTTAAAGTCATTTAGATGAATGGAAAGCAATGCAAGTAGATTTAAAGCTATTTTAAAATTACTGCTCCGAAGTTTAAAGAAAACTTGAACGTGCGAAAAATCAGTTGAAATAATTTCAAAAATTTGTCAAGTAGAAAGTGTGCAATAACTGCCATCTGTTGGAATTATTTAGCCACTAAAATCAGTTATAAATTTAGTTAGCATGGTATATTCAAAGTAACAAAATATACCATATATACCAAAAATATACCAAAAAGTTTCGAAAATATGTCTGGCAGTACCAAATAGCAGGTCATTGACAATATGAAATACTCTGAAGCAGTACAAGCAAACAGGATACGCAATAATTGTTATTGTAATTGCAAACCTACTTCTTCGATGGAAACAAAGACAACAGTCTTCCCTGCAAAAAATTAAACCGCCACTGTGAATTCTCCACCCGATCTGCAAGGTACGGAACCGAGAACTGATATGTCGTGAGTATGCTGGCTCCTTTGGTCAATGAAAGGTGTGATTTTAAGTATAAAACGCATATGCAAATTCCTGTGCGATCATAAGACGACCGCTAGTTTACAATTTAAAAGCGCATTGAATTTTGACATCCATATTAAATGAGTTTTGAATTTCTCTGTAATCTTACCTTTGAAAATTGATCGCACTGATTCCTTGAATTTGAAAAATATGGTCATTGGCGGGCAGGATTCGATTTTGTGGCATGTGCTATTGCTTCTAAAAGGTTTCTGAGCTTAATCCCAATTTTGTAGATCGTCCAAGTCTGATGTTCTTACCACACTGGAAACAATGGCAAAGTACCGTATACTAAACTTCTGTTGTGAATCATGACTTCAGCTGAGCTGACAATTTGTGTTACCGAAACTATTTCAAAATTTGGCAACACTCGATTTCTTGAGGATTGGCGGTGAGTTGTTTCAGGTTGAATGGTTTAGCTCACTTTGATTGTTGAGTAAAAAGACGAACAATGCCCACAAAACGCTTTTGCTCCCAGCTACAGTCACGTGATGTCTTCAGGTCCTGAGCACACAGGTTTAGGTCTTTCAAACTTTCTTAGAGTAAGTCAATCTGCAAACCATCCTTAGGAAACACCATTTTCTCCCGGGTTCAAGGAAGCTCAGAGGGTAGAGGAGGACGTGGCACAAGCAGTGTTGCAGGTTGTACATTCTAAATGCATCGTCCGTTATAAATCAATACATGGGACATTTGCCTACCTGATAGGTTGTATGACGATAAGAATGACCAGGCAATATGGGCTCCAACACAGGTTGAAAAAGGGGAAGGCCAAGAGAATATCTTTCACCAGAATATCTATCATCCGTGGCCCCCCGGCCCCCCTCCCTCTTTGTCGGAGGCTCTGGGCAACGTGGCAGAGTAGGATGCATGTTTATCATTCAGTATACGCTGTTTTTATAAGAATACTATACATTTTATCATGCTACAACATTTTTGAGAAAATTTTGTTTCGAGTCTAGATATATTTTTACAGTATTCTAATTTTTTCAAGTCTGTTTTGGTTTCAGGGGAAAATCGCCCACCCTCTAAAAAAACCAGGCATTTTGTAGAAAAACAAAATACATCAGTCATGCAATTCTCTGTTCTGAACAACCCAAAACAGGAAACTGCTAAAAAATAATTCACAAATATGCGAGCTGAGACTGAAAATTATTCTTAAAATATTCTAAAAAGTTAGATAATTGTGATTGTGATTGTGATAAGCATAAGCAATACCAGTTCACAACCCTGTAACAACAAGATCAAGATCTACATGTCATCCACCTCGTTTGTACTCGTTTAATTGCTTTTGTAACTGACAAATGCTTGTCTTTCCAAAGAGTGCCCATGAATTTTGCCTTTATAAAAGTTATTTGGGAAATATAC